ATTTCAATTGGAACCCATCAAATCAATCACGTGTATTGTGCAAATTTTTATTCACTTCCAACAGCAGAAAAATATTATCTTCATCTTTTAATCACCAAACGAAATGTTACATAAAGTGAAACCATCTGGTGGTGAAACGGTGTTCGCCCGATTTGCTGGTTTAGTATATAAAGACCTGCTTTATAAAAGTATGAATTTATTACATTTAAAATCCAAATTTATAGTTTTTGTAATATTTAAAGAAGAGGACGAAAAACTAGATTATCACAAAACTTGCTAAAGTTGTAGGACATTTAGGAATTTTGGGAGTCTTATTTAGGACATTTTCATCCGCATTGTTATTATGGAGGAAAAAAAATTCACAGTATTTTCTATATAATCTTAACTATTCTTATGTAGCCAAATCGTATCATTATATTAAATATTTTACACTGAATAGTTTTAATTCCATGTATAAATGAAAAAATAACTAGTAGTGCATGGCATCGTGCCTTAAGGCAAATTGCTGGAACATCCCGTACCGTCATTTAAAATTTTTAAAAGCTCAAAAGAGAAGAATTAGATTTTTTTTAGATTTTTTTATTTTTTTCGAACATTTTTGAAAATTGAAAAAAATGATAAAAATATCTTTTTTGAGATGTTTTGAGAAGATCATGTATTTCTTTAAAAAATAGATTTTTTCGATATCTGTTTTTGGAAATTTTGAAATTACTCGAAAGTTTTGACTGTAGCCAATATCTGATTTTGGACCGCCAAATGCCATTTCTTCAACTTTTTTTTTCGGATCTTCGAAACCGCTTGATCTGCCTTTGCAAATGTAATCAATGCAAATGAAATGTTTTTTGAATCATTCAAATCGAATGTTTCGTTCTTTCAAAAACTTAATCCCTATTTTCTTCATTATTTGGCTCGTAACTCCGAAACGGCCGAACCAACCTTTTCTAAAACTAATCAGCAAGTCTCCTTATCAATAGGAAACGAATGTTTTTTAAATCATTCAAATAGATTGATCCGTGCGCCCAAAATCGTGGACGATGAATTGTATCCACACGCACATACACACATACATTTTTTTTCTAAAGTGTGCCAAAATGTTCAGAAACCTCTGAAACGTAAAAATATGCAAAATATTGCATTTTCAATTTTTTGGCGATTACTATAACTTACTCTACGAGAAATTAATAAAGAAAAAAATTTTTTTGCGAGCATATAAGATAAAAAAAAACTTTCTCCTTCTTGTATATATTTGAATAAATAAAAATTGAAAATAACTAAAATTTTCTACTACAATCTCTTTATTTCCTGGGATCATATGTACGTTTCTCGAACGATTTGCCTTCGTCTCATGATATAAAAATCGTCCTTTTTGTTTAATGAACTGTTGGCACAATAAAATTCGTCAACGGATCAAATTGTGGAGCGGTGGCAGTTGATCTTAAAAACAAGGCCTTTCGGTGTCTTGGTGGATAGGACTTGATATCGAAAACATGTGCTGGATAATATCACGGATGAGTGAACTCGTATAAAAACTTTTTGGAGGAGAACTTATCGTGAAGAAGGATCTATTGAGATTGATTGTTTTAAAGAAGTAAACTGCTCGTAGTAACAAGATCTAGAAATTTTGGACAGCTAAAACTGCTGTATTTGGTAGCATATCACCAACGCCTGAACAAAATTGATTTTTTTTACATTTTCGACACGTGTTACGAGTCTATCCCGAATTTATTCTTAAACTTTTGATTTCATTCAACTATCACTAAATACGCAATTCGTAAATCGTAGACATCCTCAACCATTGTCTGCTTAACAGTTGTCTATCAAACTTATGTTGTATCGATTTTATTCATATTGAGTCCGTGACCCTAAGTTTTCGAATGGGCTCGGTCTCAATTACTCTGCTCGTACACAATTGAAGTTCTCATCCAAATTCGTCGAATCAATTAAAATAATTCTCGGTGCCTTATCGAAACTTGAAGGGCGTCGCACTGAAAGCTAAAATAACATACGAAGAACATCGAGGAATTTAAGATGGTAAAATATACAAGAAATTATAAGAAATAGTACCGTTTCGGCGAAATGCAACGTCTGGAATATGTAAATTAAGACCTTTTGTCATATTTTTGAAGAAAATGTAAAATAGCAAAGTGGCATCAACTTATATTGAAAACTAGATCTAAAACAATTGTTTAATGATGGCAGTACTAATCAAGATTTGGGTTTTATAGATTTGAAGTATATATGACAACCATTAGGTTGTCTTCTAAAAAGCAATGTAGTTTAGGAGAAGTATCATAGCTCATAGAACCACTTTGTTCTGATTGCTGTTAAAAAAAATTAAAACTAGTTGGTATCAGATTTTTTGATGAAAAGTTAGTAATATAAAATGTACAAATAATAAAGGTATGATAATAGAATTTTGATAATAACTTCTAATATTTTACTCGAGCCTGAGTCAACTCCAGACGAGAAGAATAATTCACAACTATTATTCTTTAAGTTCCGACCTATCTTACATCAAGATCTATATATTAAATAGATCAATCTAACAATTTAATTCAATATATTTTCTATTGCATGTTTCTATATCCCGCATTGCGGTAGAGTCATACAAGTCTTAATAATTTTATATGTGACATCTACCAGTCTGGAATCGTGCTTACTAAATCAAATTGAAATATATTCGACATAAAACATTGGACATGACCTCTTTGAAGAAAGCGAGATTGTAAGATATAAGGTCTCTGTGTAATATTCAATTCAGTTCAAGTTCAAGATTGTATTTCGAAAATCTGCCAAGATAGAGGATAAAGTTACTGAGTAGCAAATGTTCCACTGCAATATTTTTTTCTTACCAATTTATTCTAATTAGATTATTGTTACAAATTTAATTTTCCATTTTATTCCATACTTTTCTTTTGACTTTTATTTGTTATGTTTTAATTATCAGAAGCTACTAACATGTGCTACCACTTTTTATGTGATCTTATTGCAATATTGGATCAAATTAAGATTGAATTCTGAAAGGAACAAGTATTAATTAGTAATAAGTAGTAAGATAGTAATAGTAATTTCACCAAATAAAAAGAATACATCTATTTTTCTTTCAATGACACATTTCCTGGATCCTTTGGATTCCATGAAAACTATTTATTCCTGATTGTGATATATTGATTTCTGATGGTGATTCTGAATAATTCCTGCTAGGAACGTCTTCTATTACAAAATCAATTTCTTTAATCATAAAGTCTTCTAGTAAGTTACGATATTGTGATGTCGTAATATGTAGATGTTTTATGGTCCATCAATATTCACTTCACTTTCTTAGAGAAAGTGTTTTGAATATTTCAATTATCATCAATTTAATTGGCGTAAATTTATTTTCCATTTGTTCTTGAATGTGCTAAAAACTTCACCAAGAATTATCGTGAGAACTCTTCAAATTGATAATCGAAGGCGTTGCATATTCATATGATTTTTGATAAATTTTCTAAATATTTAGTTTTAGTGATATATTATCTTTATTTTAGCCATGGAACTTTATTAATGATTACTTAAATGTATAAAATAATATTAACTTTTAATTCATTAGAATTTATCAGATCTAGTTCGCGCCTTAAATTTTCGGTTCTGATCAAAATAAATATTAAAAATAGTTGTTCTGAGAATTTTGCATCGTGTGATGTTTTATTAAGTTTTATTAAGAAATTGCAAATTTTTGCACGGTTAATTCAAAATGATTAATTACAATGTAAAACAATCAATTTTAATAACTACTGGAATGTATGGTTATGCATCTGCACATATTCAAGTATCTTCAGTTAGTGGGAACATTGGTGGAAAAAGTGATGGATTTTTTTAATTCATTCATTTTTTGCTGCTAAATTCTGTTACATATTAGAAAATCTGTGACATATGAGAAGTATGGTATAACGTTTTGACATAAAATTTTGTCATCATCAGGAGATATTAGGCTTAGTGTCCTCCATCAAAATTGGCTTGAGCATCGGAACCAACCAATCGTAGATACAAACATATTTTATATTTCATTTGCATTATTTTTTATTTTTTTATTAGTCATCTTTGCAGTATTCTAATTATTTATGTAAAATAATTTAATTGATGTTAGGGCTTTGTGCATATATTCTGATGTAATTTTTTTTTTTCTCAAATCTTAACAACAATCAGAACCTTATGTCCTATTGCGCTGAACCTTATGAGCTATTGGGCTGAAACTTTTTCTTACTCCCTATTTTTAGATGGTGACCCAACGATTAATCCATCCATATTTAATAATCTTATTATTAGAATTTATGTAATGGGCTGTCTTTTTATTGATGCTGCTATCTATATTTCCAAGTAGAAATCGTTGTCACTGCTGCCTAACAATAGGCTGCTCGAAGTTGGTATCGAACCCGGAACATGATGTAAGATATACCATAAAATTTTAAACTGAGGTAAAAGGTACTACCTACAGTAGATATCTGCCTACTAGAGATAGACTAAATTGAGGCCCGATAATCAGACCGGTCAAAAACATTTACAAGATGTTTTGTCTAATTTAAAAGTTGACTACTTGACTAATTTCTATCAGCCTCCCCACTGAATTAGTTGCATATCGTCGTGGTCTGTTATTCGTATGATTAATGTTTTCGTTGTTCTTTGGTCGTTGTCACCATTAATTTCGCCCTCGTAAACTCTAATGACAGTTATAGCGATGTGTGTCGCCAATTCTATACATTTACATTTGTATTTGATGTGACCACCCACCAGCTTGGTGCTAAAAGTGGCATTGTTTGTCTTCAAGATAACTCCACCATATTGATTGATTTGGTCGATATCATCATTCAAGGTGGGGCGGTTAAGAATTGGAAACACTTATAAAATATTTAAGAAATCAAATTTTTTTTTTCTTTAAATTGTTATAAAAACTGCTGAACTTTTATTCCATATCTTTATAAAAATCCAAAAATGTCTAATATTAATTTTTTTATCACTTTCAGTTCTTTCGGCGCCACAATCAAAGAAGCACAAAGCAACATCGGAAACTTCTGCTGCAGAAGATTATCCTGAAGAAGAATATGCCAATGATGAAAATGAAGATGACTACGAGAGCGAAGAAGAAACTTTGGAGGTCCACAGACCATTCCTTCCTCCTGTGCCTGTCGATGCTGGAGGTCCTATACGAACTGCCTCAGGGTTGACGGTGGAAATGCCTTGCAAATTCTTGAATAGAGGTAAAGGAATTGATACAATTTATCATATTGAAACTACTTTGTTTCGTAGATATATCAAGATATTATATTTGCAGAAAGTTACGTAACGACATGGAAACACGATGGAAACACTTTGACTGCCGACGACAGAATGCTTTACCAAGATGTCCGTTACACAGTGGACAAAGACTTGAAACTTACGATTCATAAAGTTTTGCCACAAGATTCCGGAAAGTTTGAATGCATTGTCGAAGATAAAATTATCCACTACGACCTGGAAGTCGAAGGGTAAGCATACCATACTAAGAAGACAGAACAATCTCTTGGAATATTCTAAATTTTTCATTTATTCAATTTAACTATAAAATTCTATGATTATAATTTGTTTTCAGTCCACCAAAAGTAGTAAGAGTGCATCCTGATGAAAACCATGCACAAATCAATGAAGGAGATGAACTGGAAATCAAATGTGATGTGTCTGGATTCCCGAAACCTGACATTTTCTGGTCTAGAAAGGTAAAATTTTGGATTTTGGACTAGAATTTTATTATCAAAACCATTTAAGCTTCAGTTGCAAAAAAATATAAAAATTATGGTTATTGAATTGGCCCGGTTAAAAATTTTATATGAAAATTAAATATTAGAAACAACTTGAAATATTCAAATATGAACAGCAGTTTGATGGGGAACATTAAATATTTCGGAAATTAATTACAATATCAATACAATCCGTATATACAAAATTGGAGTTTCATTTTGTGAAATTACCGATTGCTTATTTTTTGTTGTAAACAATATTACTAATATGTATACAATAATTGTTTAACTGTATTGCACATGTTTTTTTTAATCAAAAACTGATTTTGATCAAGATTTGAAGTTTTAAATCGTAACTAATTAAATATGACTATAATAAACCATCAAAATTCAAGTAAAACTGTGAAATTGGTAAATGTATACAAAGGTACGGCGTTGAAAAAAATATTTTTATACTTCCTATATCATCAGTCATCAATCTTCTTATGACCTGTGAATAAAAGCTTTTGAATACAAGTCTAAAATAATGTTTGCGATGAGTAATGCAATCAGTACGAATATAAATCCAAGTTGTTTTTAGTAACTTCTTGTTATATAATCCTTCTCTATGTTTCCATGTTTCTATGTAAATATGCTTCACCATTTTGCATAAATCTATTACTATTATATAAATTTTTGGAGCCATCTGCCCTTGGTATTCGTGTCGCCATTCAAAATGTGGCTCCCAGCCAATTATTTTGAAGCATCGGTGTTCGTCATAATATGGTGACCTTTGCATGAAGTCTGACCTTTGGAGAGAAAAGAACAAGAAACGTGAAATAGTCCAATTGGCAAACTGCCAATTTTGGGATCTATATAATTTTGCATTTCATGCTACAAATCACGCCTACTACTTTATGTAACATTGATTTATGGAATGTGTTTAATCGATAAAGTAAATATAAAACATTAAAGTGGGACAAAAAAATATGAAAATTATCATAGGACACGCATAATTTTATCATTTTTCTTTATTTATGAAATGGTATATAAAATACATAAATCAAATTCATCTCCATTGCATCATGTATAGTAGAGTTTATTTCGAGTACTAAATTAATTACGCAATATTTGGCACGGATTCAATTTGATTAGTTTTATAACTTTATTTTTATTATGCACAATTTCTATTTTATTATGCTATTAAAAAGTTCTAATTATATCTGCTGTCTAAATGAACTAATGTAATCAAACCTATTATTTTATTGTGGTCTATTCGAATAAATCCACTAGTGGATACTTTCAAATTTCCAGAAAATTTTTCTCTTATACAATTTGTGTTCGTATTATTTTAGGGAGAAAACATAACTGCTGCTACATTACGTCAACACCATGGTGAATTCCGCGAATATTCCATCTACTTCCCTAAGGCTTCCAGACATCTTGGTGGAAACTATCAATGTATGGTAGACAACGGTATTGGAAAGGATTATGCCACCGTCAGGATTCAAATTAGACGTAAGTTGAAAAAAACAAAGTATTTTCCTATTAAACGTTATATCAACTCTTTGGTCTTTCTGCAGATAAACCAGAAATCCACGTGCCCCAGCATGTTCACCATTCCGAGGAAGGTTATGCAGTTAAACTTTTCTGCGATGTATACGCCATGCCCGCAGCCAAAGACTGGAACTTCACTTTATCTCGTGAACATCACCAGGACGCAGTCAGGAATAGCTCTGATAAACACGTCACCATGATGCCAAGACACGACGGACGTGGACATCGTCTGGAGTTGAGAATCGACCATGTCAGCGACAAAGATTTTGGAAACTACGCTTGTGTTGTATCGGTAAATAGAAAAGAAATAGATAATAATAATAGATGGATTTAATCCAAAGCATTGGATTGATCTTATCATGTAGAATATTAGATCATAGTGTTTTTTGTCCTTATGGATTTTTTTTAATTAGAATCAAGTTGGCACAACCACAAGCAGACATATCATTTTGACAAGGAGACCAGCTGCTGAATGGCTAGGAGATGTCATCATTGATGAGGAAGGAAATGCTGATGTGAGCTGGAAAGTACACAGCATCTCACCTTTGGTACATATGAGATTTGCATTGTTGGACCAGGGTTCTAAACTTGAGGTAAATATTGTTAATCCAATTATATCGTCATATATCAGGAATTTGAGTATTTATTCCAAACAATGATATATTCAACAAAATTTTGATTTTTATATCGATATTTTAGGAGAAAGATCTTCAAGACTTAGAGATTGGTGAATCCCACAACAATATTTACATGTTTACTCAACATTTGAAAAATTTGAAACCAGGAAGTTACCGCGTTGTCGCCGAACCAGAAAATGGACATGGTACTGCGCACGCCATCGACCTCAAATTTGCGGTTGCTGGACTCGAAGGTAATTTTTATTTTAAATATTTATTCTTAGAAATTACTCACAAATACCTTTTATTTTATTTTAAACAAAACTACTTAAATCTCATAATTAAATCTGAAATAGCCATGATTTATCCATACTGATTCTTTTTTTACAAGAATGAATCATTGGTTTTTGGTTTAATGACCTGGGAATTTTTGATATTTGGATTAAGTGTGGTTGGAGAATAGATAACTCAAATATTTCTTAAAGATTGTTTTCTCATAAAATACAAATTATGAGAAAGTGTGAAAAGTTACCTGTTAATTACACCTTGATTTATTAATGAGAAATGGTGATTTTTTGAATTAACAACCATTTATAACAATTGCTTATTTTTTATAACTTAATAAATCTTTGATTTTCATGGAAATTGAATCTAGAAATTTAGGTTTTGGTTCATTGATATAAAAATATAACTATTGGTAAAAATGGAAATTGATTAATTTTGCTTAAGAACAATTAGTTTAGTGCATGCTTTGACCCTTTTTGTTTAATTCTAACACCTGTTTTTTCTAATCCTTTTGCAGAAGCACCAGAACCTGAAAACATATCAGGTGAGCAAATTTTTGTTAACAATACTCCTAACTTACATCGCAATTATGAATTATTCTATTGATGGTTGTGGGAGCTTTTAGCTTTGTTTATTCATTTCTAAAAAATCAATATGAATTAATTGAAAAATTGCCTCTTTTATAATTTGATACAGACCTACAGTTTCGCGATTTATCGTATTTTTTTTCTATATGAATTCACATCCGATGTTTTAAAATATTTTTAACTTCCCAAAGGAGAAGTTAATGTTTTCATCAACAATTCCTATTCGCTAATTTTATGTTTTCTCGACGTTTCAAGCCGTTTATCAATTTTGCGCGACGATCAGCCGAGCCGTTTCTTTGTAAATCGGAGAGAAGTGAAAAAAATTCGTCTACGTTTTAGCCCGCAATTCTGAATTGATTTTGAAAATTCAAAAACTGTTCGAAAGATATTAGTTTTGTTTGTATTTTTTATTGATTAAGTCTATTATTTACACATGTCGGGAAATTCATGTAACTTGCCCCAAGGCAAAATACCAATACCAACTAGTTTCATTCAAAATTTGTATTCGGGTACAATTTTATTCTTCTTTCTTTCCGCTACGAGCGTCGTCTATAGACGACATCCGCATGACTACCTGTGTGCGGGTGTCGCCTTTAGACGACATCCAGCATGAACTTAAAAATCGTATTTATAAATAAATAAAAAATAATTATTAATAAATTTATTTTACCGTTTCAGGAGTACGAACAGGCGGTTCCTCAGCGACGACGGTTTGCTTACTCCATACATTTGCTTTGTTGATCATCGGTTGGACGTTGCAGTAATTCTAAAATAAATAAAGCAAAAATAAATATATATTGGATAAAATTGTTAATTTAAAATAATTCTATTATATATACCGATAGGCTTTGTTCGTGCAAATATATAAGGTACACCTTCTCATAAAATAAGATATAACCGTAGGCATAAAATATGGTACGTCTTGAGTTGTTGAAAGTGATATTCTGTTAGTTGCATCTGGGCAAATATTGCATTTTTAATATTATTGGCAGAATTAAGATGTGACTAATTTTTATTTAACAAATACGTACGAAATTCAATTTGCGATTATAGAAATTAGAGAAACGAAAGAACTAAAAAAATAGGTGTATTGCACCTTTTTGTTTTAGGCGAATTCTAGTACCTACTAAGGGCATGTTGATTTTATTTGCTTGATATAATTCTAAATGATTTTAGAATCGTAATTGCATATCTCAGAACTAAATATGTTTGTACTTAAGCAATTAAAGTTGATCGATTATGACTACATGTGTAGTTTGTCACATACGATAACCATTTCAAAATAATTATATATAAAATATACTTATTATTCTAATCGCCTTTAGCTGGCGAAAAATAATAATTGTTGTATATTTTATAATACATGAGGGTATCGGGTATAAAAATGTTGTTCGGGTAACATGCATTTCTATTTTGAGATCATATAATCATAATTACAACTGTGGCATAAATAGAAAATGATAATACACAATTTAAAATTGTATTAGAGTACACAATTTAATTTGCCATACCATTTTTATCTCGATTAATGAGGAACTATAGAACAATCTATATATAATTATCACATCCACAATTTTGCACAATGTATGTAAGCTATAGTCTGTTTTAGCTTAAGTCCTAATAAATGTTGCATTATTTAGGCATAAGTTTAAAAATATTTATATTATCCAATTAAATCTAATAATAAACGTAATATATAAACATTGAAATTAGGTAGACCTAGAATGAATTAAAAGTTGAAATTGGATTATTATATTATACTTGTCGCTATTTTAATTAAAATTTAGGAAAATCTGTAAGGCATGACTGTATTGAATTTATATTTTTATGATATTTTGCATAATATTTTTAACTGATTGATAGCAAAGATATATAAAAAAATTATTTCTTTTTGTGGCATTTAAAAAATCGGTTATATTGGTGTAAATAAAAATATATAATTATTAATTTTAACTCATAACTTCTTGACGGTGGTTTCTTAAGAGAAATTTGATGTGCAGCTATGTTAAAATATCTATTTTTATTTTTTCTATTTTAGCGAATATGATCATAATTTATTCTTTAATTCAAATTCATTATTTTAACAAATAACTTTATTTAATTGTCTTAGTTTGTATTGAGTTTTTATAATATTTGTGTCGTATGTGGCCTGAGCCACGTAAACATAATTCCTAAATTATATAGGAAATATGTTTATGTTCCCTGAGGTCATAAGTCTACTATCGTTCCAAAATTTCGAAACCACTGTTCGATTAAACATTGCTCTCAGAAGCATGTATTTAAGAAATCCTGTGTGCTTAAAAATTAGTTGTAGGTAATATTACGGTATAATATTATTTATATCTTGTAATTAATATTATTGTAATTACCTAATGTTACGTCTAATTTTAATTAATAACTAATTTTATTAAATTGAATGTGTTACCTAAGCGTTGATAGTAATTATTGTTAAAAAGAAGGCTCTTCGACCTTTAGATATTTTAAAGAGTAAACTAAAATTAAGTATTTATCTGATAAATATCCAATTATGCTAGTATTAACGTAATGTAATTGTATATATTTAGATATGTAATTTTAATATCTAGTTAACATGTACCAAAGCTTGCAATATGTATCGTGTCGCTTTGACTTTTACTTAAGGGACAATTTACATAATTTTGGAATATTTTTAAATATTTCTAATCACAAGTGACCACATTGCCTTTATTTTGTGCTTCTCTGATAAGAAAACTTGAATTTAAACTGTCAGAGTTGCTTATTCAAGTTTATAGATCGTGCACGTTTTTGTGAGGAAATAATTGTATAGATATAAAATAAAAAATAATTAAATAATGTTAAGAGTAAGAATTACGAAGGGGACGGAGGAGAAAGCTAAATATATCAAATTTTAAGGTCTTTTTTTTTAAATACAATATTTAAATTCGTCGCTCAATATAAAAATATTATAATAAATTTTTAATACGTTTTAATAATATTTATTTAATTAATCTAATCGTTAATTAAATTTTTTTCTAAATTGTCTTCTACTCCAATAACGATTATTCCGAAACGTTTTATTTCAAATCTTCAATAAAACATGTTTCTTGAGTTTAAATTCGATCAGCTGAGTTGAAAAGCATTTCGTTAGGTTATTTTTTATAGTTTTAATTTTCCACATTGGCACATGAAAGCAAGAGCCTGAAATATACAATGATTAATTCAGAAAAAGTGCCTTGCATGTTTAAAAGACTTTTGTGAAGAAAGACTTTTCAAACTAAGTAATCAAACAGCTAACTTTCAACTTTTATTATCGATTTTTTACGTTTTTTTTCAATTTAACCAGATTTAAAGCGGTTCAGCTTTTTTCATTTTGATTTTTATAAAAATATATATCAATAGGCAGCAGCATAATATTTTTCCTAAATCAATATTAATATACTAGATATATAAATATAATGTTATATGTAAATATCAAAATAAATATGTACCTATTATAATTAAAAGAACGTTTTTCTTTAATTAAAAATTGATTTTAAACAGATTTAGCTTAGCCAATGTTGTGTAATCAATCAATCAATCAATCAAATTTTAATAATATTAAAATTCTATTTATTGATTTAGGCCTTTGAGCAATTTAATTTGTAGCATTGAATATTTAATTTTATGAAGTATTCTAATTTGACCTTTTTCTAAATTGGTAACAAATCAAACAGCTAAATATTTTGCATGTACTATATTCAGTTTTATTAAATAAATTATACAAAAGTTTTATGAAAAATGTTCACTCTCCGAATTGCATGTATGTATCCAGACATATAATTCACTTGTGTATCTTTCAGATTTTGATATCATAATTTTCAATCACAAATTATTTTGGCAACAGTCAGAGATGCATTCAGAAAATTTCTTCGGAGTGACTAAATAAGGTTAGTGAAAAAAATTTCAAGACTTACACAAAGCTATCTTAAAATTTTTCTCAATTAGCTATCGATCTAAACTTAAATTTATAGTCTTATGTACATGAGTTTCATATTTCCGAAAAACAAATGTCTTATCAGGAATTACAAAATGTGATTATTATGGTTGATCACAGAATCCACTCGAGTTAAATCAGATGTTGGTTTTCCTTCAGGATTGACCAACTCCACTGAAATATAGAAATTATAATATAAACAAGTACTTCAGCAGGTATAAAGACTTTTCTATCTAGTATCTACCTGACAAATCCAAAAACTTTTGTTTCTGCCTTAATAATTCTTGAACTACAAAAGCTTTTCTTTGATTCTCATCTCCATTTTCAGCAGGTTTCACATTTGTTTGTTTTTTGGCAGTGCTTTCAAAGTTCGAATAGGCTCCAATATCTTTATTTGTGTGTGTCATTATATTGGAAGACGTCTTAACAATACTATTAACATTACTACTTAATTCAGATAATTTTTTACAACTAATTTGACCAGGTTTAATAGATGATGATTCATTGCCGGAACCTTTCTTCTCATTATCTCCTTTACTAATTTTTTTACTTCTTTCAGTATCTTTCACAGTGTTAGCTTTTGATCTCTCTTCAGTCTTTTGGCCATTATTGGGTATTGGATTACTATTCACTTTTTCCTTGACCACACTCGATTTAACAGAACCATTATTTGATTTTCCATTTTTACTACTTTCACTTGAATTGTTACTACTTAGACAAACTTTCTTGTTCAGATTTTTCTTCTCTTTCTGGGCCGTACTTTCATCAGAACTGGTCGCCGAAGTAGAAGAAGATAGCTGTCTCTGTGTAAGGTGATTATCATTAAAATATTATTTAATTTTAAATATTTATACATTACTTTATGTGTTCTAATGCTCGGTGTGTCTCCTTCACAATTAGGTAGTTTTTCGTATTCCAATGGTCCACAATTTATGTAGAAACCACCCATTTTAGTTTCTAAATTCCGTGGTATCATCTCATCATACTATGATTGAACAAATATGTTAAAATTGATCAAATATGTATATATATATAAGTAGTCTTTAACTTACTGCATCGGTATTATCTATAAAGGAATCTGATTCATCATATCCAGCAGCAATATCGGCATATTCATCACGTCTTACCCCTCTAGATAATCTGACTGAACCATATGTTGTACTATTCTGTAGAACAATATTGTAATATTAATTCAAGAAATTTTTAATTATTTTCAAAATGCTCACATATTTTTTTTCAAAATGTTTTGCTATCCTTAATAGATCATCCTCATCTATAGGATCAGGGGGCAATCCATTTGCTTTTTGCAGCTCCTTTTTCTTTATAATTTCTTTTTCTTTCTCCTGAGAATGTATATGAAAATTTAGAATCTCACAAACTATAATAATTGTAATTGCAAATTATTACCTCTTGTATTCGCGCTAATTCTAAAAAATTAAATTCAGGATAAGAATCTCTAGAAGGTTCAAACAAATCTAGTTCTAGTCGTATTGTTTTTTCAATAGGACCAGTTATTTTATTTTTCGCTGGCATTGACATTATTATTAATTAAATACCGCACAATTTATAGTTAATCATATGTTATAACTTTATATACATTTACAATTTTACATACAATACAGAAATTAACCAAAAAATGACAGTTCTTATTGTTTATATCTGCTATGCCATTGTGTCATTGCAGAAAATTTATCTGCCACAGGGGCTGGTCCGGTTTTGCATAATTAGGGGAAATATGGGGGAAATGATTTATTGTTCGATTTGCTACCACTGTTAATTAGTTTATTAATTTACATACAATACTTATATTTATTAAATAAGTGCAAAACACAAAATCATCACTTATTTCTTTTTTACTATTTAGCTTAAATAAAATAACTTAAGTTAAAGTAGTATATATTGCATACTTTCTAAGCACACATCTGGTAACACTAAATACTTCAAATGTCATTTGGTGTCAACCATACTTCAAAGTTAAGAAATTCATTAGAGAAGTGTATTGTTATTGACTTATTTTAAGATTTTGGGGTACACAATGTACGGTCCCGATTTATCCATTGATTCTGCAATATATTCAAATCTTGAAAGTGACGAACTAAAAGAAATTATTCAGGATGACGACAAATTTGAAGAAATATTCAAGGAATTGGCCCAGGTACTTTGTTACACTCTTGTTATTCCTAAGTATTTTCAATAAAATTCTCATAATAAGAGGGCTAAAAGCTACTTTCTAATATTAATTTATAAGCCAACAACCTATATTATATAATATAATAATATTATATTAATTTAGTAAGAAATTATATGACTCAGCAATGACAGTTCTCAAAAATAAATAAACAAAATGATGTCATCATGTCACAATTTTATATTTTTAATATTTTATTTTTCAGGTTAAAAACTGGGACAATCAGAAGGAAGCAATGATAGAAAGAAATAAAGCCCTTGCGGAAGCAAATCTTTTACGCAATCCAGACTTAGCTGAAATAAAAGAAAAATTACAAGAACTTTCTGAAGAAGGCAAACAATTATGCAGCAGTATCCAAGAAATGCTTGCTGAAATAAGTAATAAATATTACAATTACCCAATATTAAGCATTTTGTAATTCATTCCCACATTTACAGAAGAAAAATCTGGAAGTATCAGTTTGGATACAGCTTTAGCTCTGTTACAAACAGCAGCTGCAACCAGTGAAGAAGAATCTGAAAATATAGCAGATCAATTTATTTCACGTGATATTGATATAGATGCATTTTTAGAGCAGTTTGCATCATCAAGAAAAGTTATGCATTTGAGGAAAGTCAAAGCCGATAAAATGAAAGAACTTCTTACCCAAAGAAATAGTAGTAATACCAATAATTCATATGTGCCTAGTGTTAATAACGTGCCAGCATATCCATTAGGTCCTATAAATATGCCTATGCCTGGCTATAGGAATAATTACTTTTAATACATTTTTAATTTTTCAACATTTGCTTTATCCAATATACACAAAATAATAATATTTTAGTTATATGTATAATATAAATTCCATAATTAAATTTGTACTTTGGAGCAAAGATTTAAAAGATATAAGTTGCAAACAATTATATTTTACTATTAAACAAATTATAAATAGTTATATTTATTAATGAAGAATAGATAATATAAATAATGAAATAAGTGATAAATAATAAAAAAAACATTAATAAGTCATAAATAATGTTTATATTAACAGATACTACAAAAATATATTATAAAAATATATTATTCCTTTTTAAATAATCTGTTTTTTATAATGAGTGAAGTTAACTTCATAAACCGGATGTATTTCAAATTCAATGATATTTGGCGCCGAAAAAATATACTGACGTTAAAATTATCTAGAGTGCCGTTATTCACTTGTTGAAACAAAAGCATTTTGACACAAACAAAATATAATTAATCCTATTTATAAACTTTACATAACTTATCACAATATGGTTTGCGGTGAGATACAAATTCGGAAAACTCTTCCATTTTCTAAAATGGTTTTGCTTTGGAAATGTTTTAAGTGCGGTAACACCAAAAAAACCGAGCCGCCATATTATTTTAATAAAATCATGCTATCGATTTTTTCATGAACTTTAACAAATTAATCATTTGTTCAAACAATAAATTGAACAAAAAATGGCCAACAAAAAACAACTACATAAGTTCAAAATAATGCCCATAACTTCTCTTTAGGGTAACACCAATATTTTTGGATACTCTAAAATGACAGATCCAGATTGGCAGTTTACACATAACCCTTCGTGAGTTTGGATGTACGTTTGCATAAGGTCAATATTTTTTACATATATTTTATTTTAAAAAAAATATTCGAACGAAAATGGGTAAACGTAAAAATCAGGCACTTATCGACTCAGATAGCAGCAGCAATGACGATTCTGGATCGGATTTGGAATCTGTAAGTTTACAAATGCTTTATGTCAATTATACATTGTTCTGGAACAATTATTTTTTCACTTATTTTATTATTCTAAAAACCACTTTTTGTATTTTAACTGTACGGTTTTAGTTACCTGTATTTATTTTTTTATAGGAACTATTATCTTTGGCAAAAAAGAAGAAAAAGAACCAAGATAATTCACCTAAATCAAAACCATCCCATCAATCAGATTCTGACACCGACTGGGGAGCCAAGGACAAATCAAATTCCAATGACAGGAAAAAGAAATTGACCAAAAAGGTTAAATAAACAACTCGAAACAAATTCCAAATAAGAATAGTTATCCATATCATGAATTTTGTAGGTTTCCAGAAGCTCTTCATCAAATTCTAGCAATTCTGAGAGCGAGGATGAGGATTCTGATCATCACAGTGATAAAGAACAAGCATCTGCAAAAACTAATGCAAGTAATGCTAAAGAAAATGAAAAGAAACCTGTTGAAAATCACTCAGAACCAGAAGAAGGTAGAAGTAGAAAACTCTTGAGACGATCATACTTAATACTACTTTTGGTAAAAATATTATTGCAGGTGAAGTGTCATCTGATGATGCAAATTCCAGTTCATCTGATGATGAATTTAATGATGGTTTTGATGAAAACCTTATGGGCGATGAAGAAGATAGAGCTCGTTTGGCTGCTCTCACAGAGAAGGAAAGAGAAACAGAAATTTTCAAACGTATTGAACAACGAGAGGTTATGAAAACTAGGTTTGTTAATAATAGAAAGAAATTAACTGATCATATTATAAATCATTTTATGAGAATATCCACATTGAATTGAATGGTTCTGTTTTGTATTTATAAATATAATTGTTTAATATGGACTCATAATTGAATTTTCTTTTTTTAAGATGGGAGATAGAAAGAAAATTGCGTCTAGCAAGAAAAGGTACTGAAAAGGTCAAAAAGCCAAGTGGTGAACGATCAAAGAAATCACAAGCTGCAGTATTAAATAGTAAATAATAATAATTTCATTTTCCTTTTTATTTATACCAATGATATAACTTACAAATAAATATTTTCAGGCTCTTCAGATTCTAACTTAAATTTATCTAATAGTAGTGCCAAAAATGCAAGCCCTAAACAACTTGACTCAGCCAAAAAATCTCAAGAACTGGAAGACTTTGATTTTAAAGAAAGGTTGTGAATGCAATTCTTTGATTCTTAGATTATGATTGAATAAAAAATTTACAAATGTATTTTACCTCAGATCTAAGGAACGTAAGAAAACTGTTGAAATGAATAGAGGCGATGATAAAAGAAGCAATGCCATGGCCTTATTGAAAGCTAAAAGAGAAGGCAAACAAAAACGAGGTAAAAATAAAATCATCAAAATTAAATAAATTATTTTAATCTTTTTCTAAGAAAAGCTTTGTATTTTGGACATTTTGATTTGCAATTTTTAACATTTTGAAATTTGTAGAGGAACTTGATAAAGCTAAAAAAGAAGAAGAGCGTAAAAAAGAGGAAGAGAAAGAAGAAATTGATGGAGTTTCTGGTTCCAAAACAAATGTTAAGTTGAAAGCGTCTGATATTTATTCTGATGACTCTGGATCTGATAGTGAGGAGAAAAAATCTGTAGGTAGATCAAGTGATAGCAGTCGTTCTTCTTCCAGTGATAGCGAAAGTGATAAAAAGTAAGTTTATAATGCTTCATTTTATAAATTGACTTAGATATATATGAAATATTTTTCTACTGATATATACACTTTTAAATTAAAATCATATATACTAAAAAAAAAAAAATAAATTTTAGTTTCAAGTATTTCATATATTTTTTTAGAAACAGTACTTTCTAAAATCAAGATTTTCATTAATTTTTTGCTTCTACTGAAAAATTATTCTTACATGTTACAGAATTTGTTTATATAAATTAAATTTTCATATTATTTGTTTTGCAGATCCGTTGTTAATCAAAAATCAAAACCTACATCTAAGAGTGCTATAGAATTAAATACATGTGAACAATTAAACAAATTGCGCCTCTCAAGATATAAAATGGAACGTTTTGTACATTTACCCTTTTTTGATAGGGTTGTTACTGGTTGTTTTGTGAGAATTGGTATTGGAAATAATAATGGAAGACCAGTTTACAGAGTAAGATTTTTTGTAAAAAAATAATACCTTCATCATTTTATTTAATGTCACATAATAATTTTTTAGTAGTATTAGAAGTCATTCATTTTTTCATATCATGACTTAACCATATATATAATTATCATAAATAATTATTTTTAGGTAGCTGAAGTACTATCTGTGGTTGAAACTGCAAAAATATATCAACTTGGTAAAACTAGAACAAACAAAGGAATTAAATTGAGGCATGGTTCACAAGAGCGAGTTTTTCGGTATAAAAATATTATGATGCAATAACTTATTTTTAAATGTAATGATTATTAATATAATAATATTACAGTTTAGAGTTTGTTTCAAATCAAGATTTTTCTGAAAATGAGTTTTTGAAATGGCGTGATGCATGTAATTCATCTAACATATCAATGCCTACACAAGAACATCTTGATGGTAAATTAAAGGTAAAAGCTGAATATAAAATAATCTTTTTTAATATTTATTAATGCTAGTATTAAATTGAATTTTGTATTATTATTTTCTATTTAAGGATATAAAAGAGGCACTAATGTATGAATTCAATGAAGAAGATGTTACAAAAATAATTCAAGAAAAAGATAAATTCAGACCGCATCCAACAAATTATGCAATGAAGAAAACACAATTGATGAAGGAAAGAGATGAGGCTCAGCACCGAGGTGATTCAGAATTGGCTTATACACTTAATGAACAAATTCAAGAATTAGAAGAGCGAGCCAATAAATTAGATAAAATGCGCACAAGCACAATTAGTAGTATAAGTTACTTAAATGACCGAAATCGTAAAATGAATGTTGAACATGCTGAAAAGGCAATTATGGAAGAGGTATGAAATTTTATTTACTAAGAGGATAAACATTTTTTTTTAAATCAACTTTTCTACATGTAAAATATGTTTAATATGTTGTAATATTCATATGTTTTATCTAATTCTTATATTTGTATCTATTTTTTTATAGATTCGAGCCAATAAAGGAAAGAAAATTGATGATCCTTTCACAAGGCGTTCAACAAAACCCCGTATGAGTTTCAAAGCATGTGAAGCCCAACAGGAAGAGAATTTGCCTATGCAACCTATTCCGCCACCTCAAAACACAAATGTAAAACATATATTGCATTTTATTTTTAAATTTCATAAAATTTGATCTTACTATATTGTATTTATCATATTTCTAGCGTAAAACTGATGACAAAAAAGGTTCCATGAATCCCAAACCTGAAAGTAATTTATATTCCCTACATGATTTTGATATTCAGATAGACTTAGAAGTACCTCTGCCAAGTATGTATATCCATTAAATTTTTAATAATAATTTAAAAATATTAATCTATTGATAACTTTTTTTTTAGATAATCCTGTGGCAGTTATTCCAAAACCGGTGCCCAAAATTAAAGACTCAGGGCCAAAAAGGTCTTTGAATTTGGAAGATTACAAGAAGAAACGAGGACTTATATAAACTGTTTTAGTTATAAATTAGTTATTAGTTAATTATAAATATTAGTTCATTGAATTGTACATATTTGGTAATTTAAAAGCTATACTTGTTATAAGTATGATTATCCATTATTTTATTTTGTATTAATTAATTTGTGGCCGAAAATCGATATTTATAACTAGTTTTAATGTTTATGATTAGGATTGAGATTAATAAATATTTTTTTTGTTATAACTTGTTTTTTTTTGTGAATATGTGAAATATAGTATAAAATATGGAACAGAGGAATAATTTTTTATTTGAAACTTATTTTAAAATAATTTCAAATAATCCTTAATGAAGTCTCAAGATTAAAAATTTAAGCAAGGGTGGTTATTGATTTTTAGCGATTCCAAACAGTTTTGAATATATCGCTTCGTAGAAACGTATTGACATCCGGTTTTCCTAATAAGGGCATTTGACAATGCGACATTGTGATTGGACTAAATACAACACACGATATTGACTTGTATGCCAAAATGATGCAGGTAAATTATGAAAAAACAAATTTAATTTAATTTAATGGTACAAGCTACATAATATATTAAACAAGCCCTCATGATATCGCTTGTAATAAAAGTTAAAGATATTTTGTGGTTAGGATGCATATTCATGCGCATGAAAAAGTAGTTCTTTGAAAAATCGTAAATATTGCTATAAATATTTACTTGTCCGTATCATCGCAAAATTAATTAAAATATAAGTTTTAATATATAACTATTATCTTTAAAATAGCTCAGCAAAATTAGTTTTAATAAATCTAGTCATTGAATAGTTAATGCATGGATCGAACGACTTTGACAGTTGTAAAGTATGGAACGTATATGTCAAATATGCGATTCATTTATTTTTTTATCTAAATAGTGTTCAAAATTGTTTGACATTATTATTTGCATAAAAGTTAACATAAATAATTATTTATATAAACATTTTTTTATTTGACGTTTAATTTGCGACTATATTATTTTATTCAACATGAATCAATTCTCATATGTATCAAACCAGTAATTCAAAATTATTACAAATCATGCAAATATTTTAAACAGCATTTGTAGAGTAAATCTGAAGTAATTGAATAGTGAAGAAATATGTATACAAAGGTAATAATCACTAATTATAAAATTGGTTTTAATTTAGATTCAAAAGTGTGTGGATTTTGCAAAATGAGCAAAAAACTAGTAGTGTATGGAATCGTGCCTTACGGCAAATTACTGAAACTTTCCGTACCAAAAATTTCGAAAAAAGATATTTTATTTTGGAAATATTTTGGATACTTTGAGCTTTTTTCAAATCAATCGTACTGCTTTAGCTGCATAGACAAACGATGTTTGTCTAATGGACAAACGATGTTGCGAAACCCATAGAAATGTAAACAAAATTGATATACATTATTAAAATCTCCATAAAATATCTGACAATTTGATGTGCATACGTCTAATGATTATTTTTGACCTCAAAATGGCATTTTTTTACAAGATCTCCGAAACCTTTATAACTGCCTTCCCAAAAATTCAATCAGTTCTTCATCTTGTCAAAACAAGTAAAATGTTTTTTGAATTATTAAAATCGGACGCTCTGTTCTCATAAAAACTGACTTACGGTTTTTGGCACTTTGCGTCCCGTATTTTCGAAACGTCTAGACCTGCCTATGCCAAAAACTAATCAGCACGTCGTCTTATTAATAGAAATCGAATGTTTTTTGACACACACGGAAACATTCAGTTTTCCTAAGGTATGCCAAAATGTTCAGAAACTCTAAAACGTAAAGATATATAAAAAAATTCATTTTTGATATTTTTGCTATTACTATAACTTTCCCCACGAGAAGTTCAAAATTTTTACAAAAGATAAAACGAAATTTTGTCTACATCATTTTTTATACGTCGTGTTCATTTTTCTTCGAATTTATTGAATTCCAAACGGTTGCCGATTATATAGTCAATGACCGCACGTTTCTTAACGCGGAGCATTGATACAAATCCGGGTGCCGCTGGCAAGCCTGCGCACATCTATCAATTGCTCGGCTACAGGGCGAGTCTTTAGTTTCAGTCAGTGCCTCTGTGTTGGTGAGTGATTGTGGTAATTTGTAATATCATCCAATATACCTCAGGATTTAATTGTTAAATATGGTGAGAAATTTTTATTATTTTATTAAATTTATTTCGGCTTGTGTTACAGAAACATTTTTTTCACAACGAAAACATTTTGCCGCATGCCGGTTCGGCCATTATACATAGCTCTTGGGAGAATGTTAATTTGTCGACGTTTTTGGCTTTTGCATTCGTTGTAAAGCATGGGAATGTATTTTGAGATATATTTGAGTTGTAGTTTTTGAATTTGGTAATGTCAAAATAACCTTAAAATATTTGAGATTTGTGACAGCGTCTTGTGCAATTTGTTTTTATTGAATTTGATATGTCATTAACATTTAAGACTAACCTATAAGCTTCCTAATTCAAAAGCTTATATTTATCTAATTTCTATCATTTCAACGCGGAAGTATCTATATATTTTATGCTCAAGTACACACTAACGTTTGTTCAGTGCTTTATCTATGAACCTGCATTGCTATTTTAGTAATTGAACAAAAAAATTAATATTTTTTCCATGCCATTATGTGTCATTTCACCCACCGCACCCAATGATGTACCGGCTTGTGATGACTAATGCGTTTGCGTGTCATTTTCAATGACAGCATTTCCATATATAATCAAATTGAAATGATGTTCGAAGCTTTAAAACTCGATTTGTTCGATACAAATGAATAGCACGCGGTTATTTATAAATTCTTCTAAGACCAACGCAGATTTCGGTTTGTTACTCGTACAGGATTTAAACATGGCGACGTCTAAAAATACGAGATTAGGGGAATGGATTTCGGTTTAATCTGTGCAAATGGACGAATTTTGTTCATGGTAAAGGTCGGTGATCTGAGATTTGTATTATCATCTACATTATGGGATATATGAAAGTATAAGCAAATTAATTGTTTAACTAGTAGGGTGCATGGCATCGTGCCTTAAGGCAAATTGCTGGAACTTCCCGTACCTTAGTTAAAAATCTTGGTATGGATCCCAAAAAAATTTACATAAAATGTGTACACATTATTAAAATCTTTATAAAATATCTGATAATTTGATGTACTTATGTCCAATAAACATTTTCGACCGCCAAATGGCATTTTTTTCAACTTATTTTTATTGAGAGTCCATAACCGCTGGACCTGCCTTCCCAAAAATTTTATCAGTTCTTCATCTTGTCAATATAAGTAAAATGTTTTTTGACTTATTAAAATCGGGCGCTCCGTTCTCTTAAAAACTCAGTTACCGTTTTTGGTACTTTTTGCCGCCTATCTTCAAAACGGCTAATCCTGCCTTCGTCAAAAACTAGTCAGCTCGTCTCCTTATCAATACGAATCGAATGTTTTTTGAATTATTCAAATCGGTTGATCCGTGTTCCCGAAATCGTCGACGAAAATTTGAATATAAACATACATACACATGAAATGTTCAGAAACCTCTAAAACGTAAAGGTATATAAACATTTTCATTTTCGATTTTTTTGCGATTACTATAACTTACCCTACGGGAAGTTCAAAATTCATAAGGAATTTATAATCATTAAATTGAAACCATGTATTAAAAATACTTATTTAATCCAAAAAGTTTCACAAAATCGATATAAGTATACCTATATGCACATTAGGGTGATCCTTAATATGGATGTTTTCGAATTTCCTTGCTTCCAAATCGATAAAAAATACAGTATTTCTAGAATTTTTTGAATCTATTGGTTTTATTTTTTATTAAAAATTTTACCTATTGATACTTAATGACAAATTTTTGCAATATGTACTCAATATCAATACATGCATTAGGGTGATCCTTAATATGAATATTTTCCAATTTATTTGCTTCCAGGGGTTCAACTGCTTCCAAATTGATAGAAAAAAATCTTTGAAAGTTTTAGCTCCTAATATTGGCTTTAAGATAGTCCGCACTCAAAGTTCCTTATGGAAATAACATGGAAAATATTCCATTTGTTTTTTAGAATCACACATATTCATCAAAATTTTGAGAATAACATTATATTAGCTAATTTTGATCATAAATATAAAATTCACAACATAAGTTTGATATATTGTATAAGGTAAGTATTTGCATAATAATTATAGAATTATTAAACTTTGGGCTCGAATAACTACACTCTTAAGCCAATAGATTTAACGAAAAGTTACAAGAAACCCTTTTTTGCAAAGTGTCGAACTTTCATTAAAACAGGAGACCAATTCTTACTTCTGATTCGTATGTCATTTAGTTATAAAATTCTGAATAATAGATTTCTTTCCTCAATTTCATAAGAAATTTTGGAGTACGGACTATTTTAAAGTCAATATTAAAAGCTAAAATTTTCAGAGATTTTTTGTTATCAATTTGGAAGCGTTTGAGCCC